CTTTCCCTGAGACACCATTTGACACTCATACTCATGTTCAGAAACTTTTAAAAATTTTTTTCAGCCTATAATTTTTTCTTCTATTTCTCTTTATCAACTCTAATGCTCTTAAAATTCTTTTCTATCTTTAATGTGTACCACCTTCAAATATTCCATCAGATGAATGTTTTTCCTTTCAGTATTTCTTGACCAAAGTAAATATGTAGCTATTTTAATCTTCCTTTGTAAATCATTCTCCAGTCTCTTGATTATTTTTGTTGTTGGTTTTTTTTTTTCCTCCGAATTCCATGTAAATTTTCAATATCTTTCTAGTATTGAGATGCCTAGGAGCGAAGGCAATATTGCAAATATGTAGTTACCTCTGCTCTCATTATTCAGAAGTTATATTTAGTATTACTGCACATAGCAAATTCATATCTAAATTGCTGTCCACTATACTTGTAGGCTTTTTTCAGTATTACTGCATTGCAGATTTTTATCTACTGTTTCAGATCTGTGTTTCTAGTATGCATATTGCCAGATGCTGTTCCTTGCACTTCCATTTCCTAATTCCTTTATTACATTCCACACACATTTCTAAACTCCCAAAAGCTGATATTTCTCTTGCCCTGGCAGGTTAATCGAGGTTATCTTGCTTCTTGAGTTTGTTGCCTGTATGACTCTTGGAAAATAATTTTGCTTTAATATATATGCTTTTTTTTCTGCAAATATTTAATAACTGCTGTTCCTGCCCTGGGGATGGAGTTTTGAGAATCTCCATCTTGTTTTTGTTAGCTGTCCTAGGTTTGAAATACCCACTTCCATTTTCTCACTTATTTTATTAAGTGGTCATCAGCACAGAAGCAGCAGTTGCTATGTATGCATGAATTCATTCATGCGTGTATGTGTGTGTGTGTTGTGTGTATGTATGTATGCATATAGCTACTCACGTATAATGCATTTATCTACTCTTCCATTTAAAACAATGCTATTTACCTGCAGGAGGAGGAAGAAGAAACATATGAGCAAACTCTAGAATTCCGCAGAGGAGGTGATGGTCAGCCAAGACGGTCCACACGACCTACTCAACAATTTTATCAACCCCCAAGAGCTAGAAACTGATTAATAAGAAATAAAAGGTAAATATATGATATTGACATTTTATTTATGGGTTTAGATTTCAAGAAAAGTGAATCTGGATTGTTCTGTACTTCCGTGTTCTTCAGTCTTTGTGATGTTTGTGAAAGAACTTTCTACAACTTTGCCAGTAGTTGGTTGTATAAGAACCTTCAGCATTGGGTTGCAGATGATTAATATTTTGAACAAATGAATTACTGTAATCACCATTTACAAGCAAATAGACAACTTAAAATTCCTAGGAAAACCTTGTTTCTCATTTAAAAAAAAAAGTATTAAACAATAGCACATGTGTGACCTACTTTGTTTATTAGTGGTAATCTGTTTATAAGGAGCAAGCACAGAGCAGTGATTGGTACACCTACGGAGAACTACTGATATTAATTCAGTGTCTTATTTAAGTGAAAGTTTTATGGTTGTGTCTTTTTAGTTCCGAAACCACTTCTTGCGATCACCTGCATGAAAGATATGTTTGGCATATTGCTTCTAATTTTTTTTAGGGATATTTGTATATTTATGATAGAAGTTGTGTATCTCTGTTCTTCCAGATTTCGTGGCTGTAGGAGGAGAATATACTTGTGGGAAGGGGGAAGGCAATAAAAACACTTTGGCAAATAGCTTTTTAACTTTGCTTTATGTAAGGACTCACGTCATCTGAGCAAGTTTTTACTTGATACTTTTTCACCTGAGAGCAGCAGCAAGCTTCTCTCATTAACATACATTGGACCAACTTCTTCTCTGAAATAAGTGGCTGCAGTCCATGCTGAACTCAGTACTGTCTGTCTTTGTCCAAGGTCCCATATTCTACTTTTTATGAGCCACTTATGTGAATAAATATTCTTTCTATTGCTTTGCTTAGCATGGAAAGGAGAATTTGCAACAGTAAAATCTAAAATCTGTGAGCTTACCATTGAATGGGAAGGTACAAGGCCTAAGAATATTTACCATACTCTGAATCTTGAGGATATACTTGCATCTATGCTTTATTACTTAGCAGAAATTAAGGGATTATATATCATCCTCAGAAAATACATCTGATATGTACATTCAGAAATCTAAAAAAGGCCAGCCAGATAAAACAGTTATAATTCTTTTACTAAACAAATCAAGTGTGCTGTACTGCTTTCATTTTACTTGTGGGTCTTCTAAATACTTAATTTTCAAATGTTGACTAAAAGTCTGTCCTGAATAAAGAAAGCTTTGTAAAGTCACATGCTATTTCGTGTATATGTATAATGTGTCTGTCTTGAATCTGATTTTTTTTTTTTTCCCCCTACTAGCCAGTTTATTTTTACCGAGCTCTCTTTAGTTCCTTTCCTTGCTCCAGTCCTCCAGCTTTAGTTGGCTTAATAGGTGATGCTGATGTCTGCAGCTTTTGATATTTCTGACATGCAATAATGCATGATTTTACTTTTTTGATCATATGCTAAAATACATTTTTCATTGGGGAGAGTACTGTCAATATAAGAGGAAAATTTATTCCTGACTCTTGCCAAGGTGATAATTATTCTATTTTTGCCCATATAATTTGATTTTCTATTTTAAGTAAGTGTATCAATCACTAGCAATAAACATGTCATGAGATAACTTATGCAGAAATAATTCTGGCATATGCACTGAGCTGAGTTCTGTACCAGCTCAGTTGGCTCAGAGGAGTGTCACTGCGATCAGCTGAATGAAATGTGCTCAGTGTAGACAGCAGTCAAAACCAGGGAGGGTTTTTTTTGTGTCTTTTGGTAATATTTTTGGTAGTTCTCTAATTTTACAGTATAAATCTGGAAAACTGTGTTTGACTTTGGTCACCTGGGAGAGGGGGGGAAAACAGGCATCCAGAGAGAGTGATAGTAACTCCTGTATCTCAAAAAGAGTGAATGAATTGTTGGCAAGTAAGGAACAACCTTTCCAAGGCATAGGTGGTTGTTCCTTGCAGGTTTTCTTATACCTTGCTTTGAAGATTCTAACAAGATCCCGATTTAAATGGACAGCAGACTCGGTATCAAAACCTACCTCCCATAAAAATAAACAGTTACAGCCCTTCCCCTGCCCCAGTTCAAATACTGTTGTTTTCTGTCAGACATCTCTAAATAAAGTAGCAATGGACTCTTCTCATCCAGGAAAAAAAAAATCAAGAAATATTTTGGAAAATGTGTCATGAAGCTGAATATAGTTTTTAAGCAACTGCTTACTTTGCTTTAAAAACTACATCTTTTATTGACAATACTTCCAGATATATCCTTCTTTTTCTTCATTATAATTTAAAACTCCCTTCCTCAGTTGATGAAATGAGGTATTTTCTGTGTCTTCTTTTGGCCCAGGACTGTTTACTTCAACATCTTCTCAGGTTAGATAGATAGTGCCAATTCGTTGTCCAAAACTGAACTTATTAACCCAGTGCAATGTACAATCAGTAACAGCTTAAACTTGGAAAATTTTGGCTACTTTTTTAAGTCTAACTCTGTTGGAATATTACGCACTTTATCTTCTACAATACAAATAGCAAATATTGTAAGAGTTCCACATACCTTAAATAGTCATCACTGTAAACAGCAATTCATTATGAGAAAATACAAGTTACTGCTTGATAGGAAGATTCATTCCCTTTAGATCAAAACATTCAATGCCATCTTCATTGGGTGCAATAACTGAATTGTCTTGAACTTTAATTAAGTGGAAACTCTCTAAATGGCTCAAATGTAGTCAATTAGAAGTTTATACATTTTATATTAAAATGATTTGGTAAATCTAGCTATTTTAATTAGCTGTTTTATCAGATTTAGGTTTGTATTTGGAAAATTTCCAGTATTAGGCTCAGCTACATTTCAGCAAAAAATAATGTAACAGCTATTTGATGTTCAGACTGAAAAGTAGTTGTCAAGATATGAAATTGGTCTTAGATTCTTAAAACACTAGGATCACTCAGGTAGAAAAAGAAATGAGAGGCAAGAGATGCCTTCTATATAGAGACTGGGTGGTGCTACTTAAGCATAGTTAGTTCCTGTATTAGTTCCAGTCAAAACAATCCTTTATTTTTGTCTAGAATTTGTAATATGGATTTTTTTCCTCTGCCACTGTGTTCTAGTGAATATTTGGAAAATCTTGTTCTTTTCTATTCAAGAGTGTGGCATTTGTGGTCATCTCTGAATAGTGTCAAAAAGTGGAAATTCTTCCTCAGTTTAAGAACACTCTATTGCTAATCTTTTTGAGGATAAAAATATTATAGTGCTGTATCCAGAAGCTTTTTCTGTGTGCTACGGATCAGCTTTTGCCTGCTAGACTTGCTTTTTGAAGCTCATGTAGAATCCAGTGTAGCTGCCCTCATTTGCCTTTTTGATAGGTAAAGTGATGTGAGGAGGTGTTTGTTGTGATACTGTGGTGGACATATTTATCAGGTATGGCTTATAGCTCCCCATAGTACATCTCATGCTACCATTTATCTTATACTTAGGTTGCATTTTGAAATGCATTCCATTTGACCTAATGAGGTACAGGTTGAAGACAGTGGAATTAGAGAGAAACCAGTCATGAAAATCTATTAAGATTTTCCAAAAATAAGTGGTGGATGTAATGAGTTCTTCTGCGAGTTTAAATGTAGGCAGAAAATCAAACACAGTCCTTTTTTCTAAATTGCTTTCAGCTTACCCAGACTTGTAAAACAGTGTAGGTTTAATGTCATGACATGTAAAAGTTCAGGAATATTGAATGTGAGTTCCTAGAAGTGGATTTCTATATGTTTTTTCCTCCTTTTTAGTTCCTTAGAGCTATCATAAATTGGTAAATTCTGTAGAATTTTAATATGGTAGTATTTAACATTTAAAATGCTTTGTTTTCAAAGGCAACTTAGACAGTTCTGAAAGTAAAGTTTGCTGGCTATATTTGTATTGAGTATGATAGGGACATATCAAGATGAAACATTAGGTCCATACAGTGTAGACATCACCTCAGACCCAAAAGCTCTTAGACCTACCTGTACAATGTACATCACTTGACAGGGAGGACTTACTAGCACCAGTACAGCAATGCAGAACTGAAGCTATACTGCTTCCCGGATTAGTTTTCAGCATGCTCATTTAGGTGTTGAAGTTGCCTTTGCAAATCTGGAATTGGTATTGACAAATATCAGGTCATAATCTATGTCTACAATGTAACGGGGTCTTAAGTGTGAGGAGGCTTTAGTTTTTAAAATCCTGAGTTGCTTTTTGAAAGTGGAATTTGGGTCCATGGGTTTGTTTAGCCTGGAGAAGAGACGGCTGCAGGGAGACCTTCTTGTGGTCTTTCAACACTTAAAGGGGGCTTATAAGAAAGACGGGGACAGACTTTTTAGCAGGGCCTGTTGGGGTAGGACAAGCAGTAATGATTTTAAACTAAAAGAGGGTAGATTCAGACTAGATATAAGGAAGAAATTTTTTACTATGAGGGTGGTGAAACACTGGAACAGGTTGGCCAGAGAGGTGTTAGATGCCCCATCCCTGGAAACATTCAAGGTCAGGCTGGATGGGGCTCTGAGCAACCTGATCTAGTTGAAGGTGTCCCTGCCCATTGCAGGGGGGTTGGACCTGATGACCTTTAAAGGTCCCTTCCATCCCAAACCATTCTATGATTCTATCCTTCTGAAGAGCTTCTTGCCACACTGTTCTGTGCTTTGGGTATTAAGAACAACGGCTGCAAACTTGCAGGAAGTCTTGACTTGGTGTTTATTATGAAGACAGAGTGATAGAGTAGTCATGTTAAGGTGAAGTTACAGAAGTATGGGGTAGTCAGTACCTCACTGTGGTTGTGTTTGACCTAGAAATGATCGTTTATTCATATCCAGCAGTGTGAGGTAGAGAACACTAACTCAGAATTTTATCAGAGCACTGCATTGAGAGCCCTTGAACCTACTTTAGGTTGCTTAGGGTATGAGTCAAATACTAGCTTTAACAGGTGTGTAAAATAAGATGTTCCTCCTAGAGAATCAATATATAAGGATTAGAATCTAACAATAATAA